TATAGATAAATTCTATTTATATAGTACGGATCTAACAGATAAAGCCTAAATAAGAAGATCAGGACAAATATTGTGCAACTGGGCAGAGAGAGACTGCAGGTGGGGGAGGAAACTTACTATTAAAATACAATTACTTCGTGCAAAGGTAGGCTGTTAACAATACCTCCCTCGAAATCCTTCTGTTCAAACAAGAATGAAAGATTTTCCTCCTCGTTCAGCCTAGAAATAATGGATTTTCTTGCAAGGGCAATCCTTTTTGGGGGGAAGAGGTGGGGGGGAGGAAGGATCTACAAATGGACACTTCGCATGGCAAGCGACGGAATAGGGAGAGAGGCTCCATACAACCAGGAGTAGCGAACAATGACCGACTAGGTCCCCGCCGGTTTTCCGCCAGGCGGTCTCCCTCGAAAGCTTGCCGGCTACAGAAGTCTCTGCCCTGCATTACCCCGAAAGCCAGCCGGGGCGCGCCTACCTGGCCAAAGAACAGCCCAAGCCGCGCGTGTCGTGGGCGCGTTGCGGGTCTCCCCCCCCCCAACCCACTCGTAAACCAAGGGCATTCCGTGAACCCAGGAGCCTCCGCAGCGGCTCCCTTACCAGTTGCTCCTTCAGGGCGGTGAGGGTGGCTTCCAAGCGCTGCTCCTTGTTCTGTGCCTGGCTCTCCTCGGTTGGGCGCTGCATGGCCAAAGCCTCGCTCACCAGCGCCCGCTGTTTTTCCCGCAGCACCTGGAGTTCCTGGAGGCCGGCCAGGGCGGCTTGCAGTCTCTCGCTGACCCTGCAGCGGTCCCAGCCGCCGGGCCGCTGCTGCTGCTGCTGGTGGTGGTGGTGCTGCCTCCCCGTGAGCATCTTTCCACGCCGCTCTCAAACCACGGCCATGCCAGGCAACGCCGGAACCTGCTGCTTCGGAAAGAAGGGTCAGGAGCGCGCAAAAAAAAAAAGGCGGCGGGAGCAGCAGCCTCTCGCTTCGCCCTCCGCTGAGACGGAATGAAGCGGAGGAGCGGCCACTGCGGCTGGGGAGCGAGCGGGCGGAGGCGAGGCGAGGCTGCGGTTCAACGCCCTCTCCGACGCGGGGCAGCCCAGGGCCACCGCCGAGCCGAGGAGACAGAAAGCCGGCGAGGGCGAACCAACCACGGGGCCGCCTCATTCATTCCTCCCCCCCCCCCTCACCCTATCCCCACCCCCACCCCGCCGCGGAGTCCCCGCCCTCTGATGGGGAAGGTTCAACGAGAGGTCTGGCGATCCTGGAGAGAACCACTTTCTCAGGAGGGGCAGGAGAGTGTGTGTGCGGGGGGGGGGTGATTTTTGTCTGCCCCTCCTTGCAAATTCCCCTCCCACCTTCCCACCCACCCCACCCCCCTCCAGTGAAGTCAGGTTGCAGTTGAAGACATAGGCTCCGTAAACCCTGATCCTCATAGGTCTTCAAGGGATGCTCGGCTCCTGGCGGCTACCTGGATGCATCCAAATGGTTTACTTTTGCAGCGGCAAAAAAAAAAAGTCCTTTCTCCTCTTCCTGGGTGTCTTTTCAGTTTTTCGGTCTGGGAATTCCGCAGGAATCTCTTCTCCACCTTTTCTCCAGGTGTATCCTGCTTTAGATTCCGAACCCAGGGAAGAATGGCTCTGGCAGCTACTAAGCTATGTAGTCCATAGATTCTTTTTTTCGGTCTTTCCTGGGAGGAGGGAGTAACTGAATCCATGGCCTCGTGGCTGTTTGGTTGCCTGTGTGTATCTAACATGCTTGCAATGTTTGAGTCCAGGTGGAATGAGAGAATTGAATTTTAGGTATGGGGGGAGGATGGGTGGGTCCTTCCCCCCCCATCTCAAAGGAATCAGTTTAACTTTAAATTAAATTTCTCAGCCAAGCAGCAGCTGATTAGATGGGAATTCAGCTGCAGCTTGTAACACCTTTCCATAAGCAAATACTTACCTAGTGAACGCCACAAATGAACTCTGATTGTACTGAGCTCGCTCTCTCTCTCTCTCTCTCTCTCTCTCTCTCTCTCTCTCTCTCTCTCTCTCTCTCACACACACACACACACACACACACACACACAGCGCCAGTTGGTGTTTGAATCTGGATTTCCAAGTTCAAGGTCAGATTATCTACTGCCACAGCTTCCCTTTTTCCTTCCTTGAGGCAGCTGTCCTTGAAAAGAATAAGATAAGACTTTTTAAAAAAAATTTGATTTATATGCCGCCCTTCTCCTGAGACTCAGGGCGGCTTACAATGCGTTAAGCAATAGCCTTCGTACTTTTGTATATTTATACAAAGTCAGCTTATTGCCTCCACAAACTGGGTCCTCATTTAATCTACTTTAGAAAGGATGGAAGGCTGAGTCAACCTTGAGCCTGGTGAGGCTCCTCACAAAAGGGCTGAGTTAAAAAATCAAGTTTAATATTGTTTTTCTAGAACCAAAGAGATTTATCACACTGCATGGGTTTATCAGCAGCTCGTTGCAAAAATGACTGGTGTTTTTTTTTATATATATAGGGGAGTGCAATTTGGCCATCATCTGGTTCAAAATGTTGCTTCAGTTTTAGGCCAGTCTGGTGGTGATCTGCTTCCAGGTGGTGCTTTCCTTAGGCAAAAGGGGGAAAAAAAGGAGTTGTTCCATTTTGAAAATGGTAAGGTGGGGCTCTGCGCTTTGACTGACTGCTTCGGTCTGAAGAAACAAAGTCTTTTGGTGCATGTGTTCATGTGCACAGAAGGCACTTTTATCACCTTGATTGAACTAGCAAGCCTTCTCAAGTCTTCAGCGTTGATCCAGGACAGCTCTTTGATTTGGCACTTCCAGTGGTTGGATTCAAATAATTTAATAACCAGTTCTCTGCCCTAATGATCAGCTGGGTGGGCATGCCCAGGGTCTGTGACAGGCAGCACTTGGCCTCCTGTACCACCCTGGGAGCAAAAATGGGCTGAGCCCCCCCCCCCGGCCCCATTTTGGGCCTAGTATGCCTCCCTGCAGCTCCTGGGACCAAAAACAGGGCACAGGCTGGGAGCGCCACAGACCCCCGTGCCCCATTTTGGGCCTAGCAGGCCTCTAGCCTCCTGGGAGCAAAAACAGGGTGCAGGGGGCCACACCGCCTCCCCCTGAGCCTCATTTTGGGCCTAAGCAGGCCTCCCTGCAGCCTCCTGGGAGCCAAAACAGGCGCGTGGGGACTCCTGGAAGGGGCAGGGCGGGGCCAGCCAGTCAGCAATTTAATCCCACCACTGGGCACTTCCCTTCCAAGACATGTTCTGATTGGTGCTTCATTAAGCTGCCCTAATATTTGGTGAATGCCCACTATTGAGAAGGATTTTATCTACTTCATGTTCTTCTTTTGCTACTTGCCCTACAATGAATGTGTGTGTGTTCTCTCAGGGTGTGTTTTTTTCTCCCAACTGTTGTAGTTGATGGCAGCCTATGAAACTTATGTTATTGTTAGCCCTTTGAGTGCCAGACAGTTCCTTTTCACAAGTACATGACTGTTCAGATCAACAAACAAATTTACTATATTTTAGTATTGAAGGCTGAATGTTGCTTCTCCCAGGGGCAATGTTACTCAAAAAAGGAGAAGGGGTATATCTTCTGATATTTTCTGATATATAGATATATATGAAAGGAATTTTGAGAGATTACACATGCAATCTTTTCTGCAGTATAATGTAGATAGAAGGCAGGAATGATACCACCTTATTGAAGAAAGCCAAAAGACACAGTGGCTTTTTGAAATTCAAGTAGTCCTGGACTTACAACAGTTCATTTAGTGACCAATCAAAGTTATAACAGCACTGAAAAAAGTGACTTATGACCATTTTTCATAGTTACCACCATTATAGCATCCCCATAATTATGTGTGCAAAGCTCAGATGCTTGGCAGCTGATCCATACTGTGTTTTCCCCAAAATAAGACCCGGCCAGAAAATAAGCCCTAGCATGGTTTTTCAGGAAGCTCGTAAAAGAGCCTACCCCAAAAATAAGCCCCAGTTAAGATCATCAGCCAGACGGATGTATTTAGTAATGCATTTCCCCCCAAAAAGGACTCCACCTGAAAATAAGCCCTAATGCGTCTTTTGGAGCAAAAATTAATGTAAGACTCTGTCTTATTTTCAGGGAAACACAGTATTTATGACTGTTCCTGTATCCCAAGTTTCAGTGGTCACCTTTTGTGACCTTCTGACAAGCAAAGTCAATGGGGAAACCAGATTCACTTAACAACTGGGCTACTAACTTATCAACTGCAGTGATTCACTTAACAACTGTGGCAAGAATGGTAGTAAAATGGACAACTCACTTCACAAATACAACAGAAATTTTGGGCTCCATTGTGATCGTAAGTCGGCTATCTGTAGGCTGCAATGGATTCAGCTTTAATTGTGCTTAGAGCAGACCCACTGAAATCAGGGAGACGAGAAAACCAATACTATTTATGTCTTATAAATTTCTATGGGTTTGCTATAAGCATAACTATCAACTCACTGGGCAAGTACCATTGTTTGGAATGTGTTGCTGTATTTGTATATGACCCCGCCCCCCCAAAAAAGGAATAAAGATCTCAAAACCCAAGATACACTTTTCTAACTACACAAAGTTATCCTTATCAGGTTCTAGTGAACTGCAGATACAGTTTGATGATTCTCCACTCCTGCCTTTCTTTATTTTTGTATGTCACTGGGCAGAAAGCAAGGGACATCTTCTTAAGTTTTATTTCAGTTTACTGAAATAAATAGCATACAATAGAGTGCCAGTTTGGTGCAGTGGTTAAGATACCAGGCTAGAAACTGGGAGACTGTGAGTTCTAGTTTTGCCTTAGATAGAAAACCAGCTTGGTGACCTTGTGCCAGTCACATTCTCATAGCCCTAGGAAACAAGCAATGACAAACCACACTTCTGAACATCTTGCAAGAAAACTGCAAGGACCTGTCCAGGCAGTTGTAGAAGTTGACACTGATGTAAAGGCCTCCTCCTCCCCCTACCCCCACAAATACATACAGTGTTGTTCAGATATAAAGCCCAGAGTTCGAATTAATTGATCAACTGAATGAATTTATTGATCATTGCAATGGTTTTGCAATGGCAAAAATCTATGTTCATTAGCCTCAAATTTGAGGGATGGTCTTATACAATGAGCTGGTCTTGTGAATCTAACAAAATTGCAACTTGTTAGATTCAACTTTGAGTACCCAGGGATCTTATTCAATAATTCTTCACCATGCAACGAATGACCAGATATTGGGTTCATGGGCACAAGGATAATTTGAGCAATTTCCCCACTTGGACATTATTAATTTTTTTTGCAAAGGAGGGGTTACCTTTTGTATGAAAAGTGGGATAATTTACTTAGTGAAGGCGAATAGCTGAATGGATGGATTGTCTTGGTTTAAGAACACAAGATTAATCTGAGATAGCATGAAAGCTTTATCTGGAAGGAATCACTTGTTGGCATCTATCTTCAAATTATCTGTTGATGTTGCAGTTACTGAATGAGGACTTTTCCTAAACAAAGAGGTTTATTTAATTGGCTTACACCACTAGGGTAATTTTTTTTCTTCACCCAGAACAAGCCTACTCTATGCTCAAATCAGTTCATTCAGCTTCATTCCACGGTGTTTGTTACTTCTGAAATGTTGATTTGGCAGCTGAAACAACCCCCTTTTCTTACGCCATCTCCTAGAGGGGAAGAAGAGAGGGAGGGAGGAAGTTTATTACTTTTCCACAAAAGGAACATGTCTAGGCTAAATAAATCCAGCAGAAAAAGTGATTACAGGATGTTTCAGCAGCTTTAATCTCAGGGAGTTTTCATTTAAAATACAGTAACGCATGTGGAAGCAGAGAGGAAAGAGCAAGAGTAGTGATCTATGAAATTCATCTCTGTGTGTTACCTCCCCCCCTTTTTTTTTTCATTGCTGCAGCTTTCTAGATAAGCCAGTAGTTTCTGCAGTGAGTATTTTGCAGAGTATTTTGAAAGGAAGCACTAATATAAAGCTTATATAAGAGTTGAGTCAATAGATCAATTTCTATTCTTGTTCAAGCAGTTCAATCTTTAAAAGAAGGCTTCATTTGGAGAATTGCAGCCAATGCAAGGATAGTTAAGGAGGTATGCATAAAATATGACTTTGCAATGTTTTATAACGCATTAAGCAGAATCTGAACAGAGCAGACTTGCTGAATTAGGCTAAGGCACATTTTAGCTTGTACTTTTGTTTCTTGCATGACCAGCTAGATGTTTCTGGAATCTCTGCCATTGTTCGTCACATGCTCTTGGGAGTCATGGGCATAATACAGAAGCTTCAAGATCAGCAGTCTGTGATGGACCTTCCCTCCATCAATTTCTCCTGTTCCTTCCCTATAAGCTTCTAAAATAATAGCCATCCATACAGCTTGTAATAATGAGTTCGAATTACACATTGTATGGAAAAGTGCTGCAAACTGTAATGCACTTTCCATGATGTTGGCTTAGGGTATTTTCCGAATTCAGCTATTGTGAACTGCAAACAAAGTTTGGATGGTTAGAGTTATGTGTGAACCCAGCCATTTGTGCCTTATCCAACAAACCATGAGTTAAGCAAATCATGCTCAGAGGGTGGCATGAATCCCAGCCAAATGAGTCATTCACCAAAGCAGCCGTAACTCATTCACAATATAAGTAGGTTTGCAAGCCTATAAAACTGAAACAAGAGGGATATCAAGCAGAACCAAGCCTATGGTTGGAGGTTGGATACAGGAATAACAAATCATAGAAAAAATTCCAAAAGGGGAAATTCCAAACAGAAATTCCAACAGGGAAAAATATGTTCTTGCCTCCAGTGTATTATTCTATGGGAATCTTTGCTGTTAAAGGCATGCAGGGACAAAAGAATTAATTGCTATTGCCTGTCATAATGGAAGAAGTCATTCTGCTTGCTGATATTTTTTTTTTTGAAGTATTCTTTTATTCATGTATGTGCAAGGTATTATGAAGCTGGCACCCTCTAAACTAACCTCAGAGCCTGAGATTAGACAAGAAAGTACTCCTTGATAGATTAATTTTAGTAGGGTTACAAGTTCCTCGTCCAGAAACTCTTGACTCTTGTGTTTCTTCTTGTTTTCCTTAATGCAGAGTCTATTATGATTCAAGAGATGACTAAACTTTTGAGCTAATCTCTGTCTGTCATCACTAAAGCTGTTGTTCCTTTATTCCTTTCTCTGACTCCTAAGAATATAACATTTAAAACATGGCCAGATGTGAGTAAATCCAGAAGCAATAATTGTTGCAAATTGCTCCGTAGGCTGATATGAGGAAAAGTGCTGAGTGATCCACATACAAACCTAATCAAACCAAATAACCAAATCAAATCAAGTCAAATAAAAAATTGCCCTTTTCAAATTCAGAGAAGTCTTTCCTCTTTTACTTTCATCCCAGGGTCAATTTTATACCTGTTGTTCCCCTGAGACAGAGCTGAGTAACATGATGCAAAAGGCACATGTTGCAGGTTCTGTCAAAGAACTTTGGCTGGTGGGGTCCAGGAGAAGAGCCTTTTCTAACTTTTGGAATATCCTATCTCCCCCCCCCCAATCCTAAAGTGAGATCCTCTGACATACGTCTGACCTTCCATAAGGAACTGAAGACCTGGCTCTATTAATTGGCTTATGGTCCCAATCAAGTATCAAACTGAAGGTGGTTGATGGATTAAGAGAAAATCTCACCTTCCTGTCACCCCGTGCATATCCTGCTTCTTTCCTCCCCCCGTATTTAATTGTAATTTATTACTGTTATTAGGAATAGGATTAGGACACCATTCGACAACATTTCGGTGTGGCACCAATTATAGAGAAGATGAGAGAAGGCCGACTCTGCTGGTATGGACATGTCCAGAGAGCAGCACCTTCCACCATGGCCAAGACCAACTTCTACCAACTAGAAGTCAATGGCTGGTGACCTTGTGGGCATCCAAAACAGAGATGGCAAGACACCATCAACAAAAATATGCAAGCCGCAGACCTGCACCCTGGAGATGCAGCTGATCATGCAAAGTGGTGTTCAATGATCCAAAAAGTGGACCCTGCACCTGCGGGAATATGCTAGGAGGAAGAAGAAGATTAGGAATATTTATTGTTTGTAGTTTCATTATTTCTTAAGCTGCCCAGAGTCACCTCAAAGCGAAATGGGTAGCAAACAAATCAAATCAATCAAAGCCAAGTCCATAGTTCCCAAGGCAAGTCCAGTTAAACAACAGAGGGACATGGTTTCCCAAAACACCTCTTCTCATTCCTAGAAGCAAAAATAGAATGTCAATGAACGTAGGAATTGCCATTTGCTATGCAGTCACTCTGATGTTTGTGCTGCCTTTTAATCACCAACAGCCCTGCACTCCTGTCTGCTGCTAGAATCCACAAAGAACATTGCAAGAGCACCTTCATCAATAACAAGTCCGTTTTCTCCTATTAGACTGGACTTGGTCATGTGGAAACTGTCTGAGAAGTTACGCCCGGCAATGTTGAGTTTGGGTTGGGACTCCACGAGTAAATGTGTGTGGATCTGATGCAGTGCCTTGGTTCAGATGGGAGCTCTTTTTCACACTTCCATTAAGTGTTTGGTTTCAGCTCATTCTACCAGTTTAAAAAAAGAAATCACCATTCATCAGGCTGCCCTAAATTTCTCCTAACTTTTTAACTTGAAGATCTTGGCTCACAGTAAGGATCAGCATTAGATGGGCCAATTGGCAGTGCCTTGTGCTGTAGCTTTGGGGGTCAGGAAAGGTCAGGAAATTCATCTTTATTTTATTGAGTTTTTGTATATTCTCTGCTACTGGTTTCTGCCTCATGTGCTATAACAACCTGGCTATTTTGCAGTTTTTTCCCCCCTCATTAGCTTAGATGAGTGACTATTACTCCTACTTAGACCCTGCTTAAAATCATAGTTGCGGAACGGATATCTGGCACGGAATGAGGACATTATTGGACAGGAGGCAAGTTCATAGCAAAAGCTAATGAACTTAATTCCTGGTTCTAGTGGAAGCTATGTGGAGAGATACCTGTGCTTTTATCTTAACTTATGCAGAGCAAATGTAAGATGTACCAAAAATGTAATTCCTAAGAAATGCTGAATAACTTCTTCAGGGCTCATCTTAACTGATATAAAGTTCTAAAAAAGAAGGGTCTGTATAATGAAATAAATGGTCAGGGAAAAAGTAGCCATTCAAATATGCTAGTCAGAAAGTTATATGCTATAAAGATGAACCTAAGAAGATAAGGAGAAACCTGATGAATCAGAGCAAATATTGTTAATCAGTTCTTACTAGCAGATGGTTTTAGGAATCCTGTGAGCAAAGCAACTGGCTTGCTCTTTTTCACCACTCACTAGCACTGAAAAAACAATATACAAGACAATTTATATAGTTATCATGGCAAACAGACATCCATAATCTTACTTTCCTGAATATGCTTAGTCGTCAATGGACATCAACCCAGAGAGATGCATAGTTTAAATGTGTTCTGTGTAAATGAATAAGTCCTTTGGTTCTAGTTCTCCTCCCATACAGTTTCATTAGATAAACCGATATGAATTGTATATAAGAATTTATACACCTATCATCAATTTTCACCTATACTAGTACTAGCCACATAGTCACTAACTTTTCCTGTCCTTATGTTGGGAGCTTAGAATGAAGGTTACTATAACCCAGCATATCTAATAGTATTTTTAATTGTTTACAAATATAAAGATTAAAAAAAACTAATGTAAACTAAGAAAAATTCAAACAGGAAAAATGTGCAGAGAGAAGAAAAACGGGAAAGGAAGAAAACAATACATAAAAGGAAAAATATATAAAGAAATGACTGGCTCCTTCTTAAGGATAAGTTCGAACAATTTCAGTAATTTATCTTCCTTAATATTTCAACTAGAATCTCTACATCCCTATCTCATCTTTTTCTCTATCTACACCCACACCTATATCTTAAACAAGTAAATCAATTTCATATTTCTTTCATTTACCTTATACAGTAACTTACCATTTTCTATTCCAACAATGTGTGGCAGCAGCCAAAAAAGCCAATGCAATCCTAGGTTGCATTAACACAACAGCTGGCATTAAGACCAGCTGCCTGCAATTACTGCAGGGTTCGAATCTCGCCAAGGCTCAAGGTTGACTCAGCCTTCCATCCTTTCTAAGGTAGGTGAAATGAGGACCCAGTTTGTGGGGGCAATAAGCTGACTTTGTATAAATATACAAAAGGATGAAGGCTATTGCTGAGCACATTGTAAGCCGCCCTGAGTCTTCGGAGAAGGGCGGCATATAAATCAAATTAAATAAATAAATAAATAAATAAATAAATAAATAAATAAATAAACAAACAAACAAATAAACAAACAAACAAACAAACAGGCATAAAATCAAGATTGCATGAAATATTAGTACCGCTTTGTAAGTCTTTACAAAGGATAAACACTTATCCTGTTTTGGTCACCAAGTTATAAAAAAAAATGTTGAGTGCAGAAAAGAGTAACAATGATTAAGGTGCTGGAGGCTAAAACATACAAAGAATGGTTATAGGAATTGGGTTTGTCTACTCTAATGAAAAGAAGGAATAGGGTGACATGATTGCAGTGCTCCCATATTTGAGGGTCTGCCACAAAGAAGAGTGGGTAATCTATTTTCTAAAGCACCTGAAGGCAAGACAAGAAGCAATGGATGGAAACTAATCAAGGAGACAAGTAACCTAGAAATGTCCTGACAGTGAGAACAAGTAACCAGTGGAATGTCTTGCCTTCAGAAGTTGTGGATGCTTATCACTGGAGGTTTTTAAGAAGAGACTGGACAGCCACTTGTCTGGAATGGTATAGGACAGTGATGGCTAACCTTTTGCCATTGCGTGCCAGGAGCGTGGGGTGGAGGGGGGGTCACGCACATGTGTGCCACACCCATAATTCTATGCGCCCAGCCACCACGCATGCGTGCACAACCCCCCCAGTCCCCCCTGCTCCTGACATACGATGGCATGTGGTATGCCTGTTTTTCTCTCTCCCCAGGCTCCAGAGCCTTTCTAGGAGCTTGGGGAGGGCGAAAACGGCCTTCCCCACCCTCCGGAGGCCCTCTGGAGGCAGGAAACAGCCCGTTTCCCTACTTCTGGTGGGCCCAGAAGGCCCGAAAACCAGTTGGACTGTGCGCACATGCGCTCCAGAACTGAGCTACACATGCCACCTGTGGCATGCATGCCATAGGTTTGCCATCACGGGTATAGGATCTCCTGCTTGAGCAGGGGGTTGGACTAGAAGACCTCTAAGATCTCTTCCAACTCTGGTATTATTCTGCTCTTGTACTCTTATTCTGCTAAAAATACAAAACCATTCTTTTCTTCCCACATCTTAACAGATCACATCATATCTATAAACAATTGTAAAGCCTCATGATTCATAGTTAATCAGAAAAGATTCTATTAAGAGTTACCAGAAACAACATATTGAAATTTAATCCCATCAAATAATGTTTCATAAATTAATTTCTATTTCTTATTATTTTCTCCTCATCTCCTCTCAGAAACTGTTTCACAAGTTTAACACTTTTCTTAAATTCAAATACTTCATCTATTGCTTTCTCTGAAAATACAACAAAATAATACCTTCTGCCCATATCTTTTCAACCTTCATCATTCAGCCCTGATGACATTAAAACATTAAAAAAAACATTAAAGCTGCTAGAAAAAAACACCTTAGCCAAATAAGCCAACTTCATAATTTTTTTTAACTTTTGCATTTAAAAGTCTTGATGTTGATTCCTTTAGTGCCCTATAAGATTATTATTTTTTCATTCTCTCTCTATCTTTTCTCAGAAAATCCTTCATAGGTATAACAGAGCTCTTTTGTTAGTCTAAAAAAGAAAGTTATCTAAATTATACTTCTGAGTAGAAATCCACACATCCAAGTCACTCTTCTGATTTACTACCTGTGTGTCCCTTTTAAATGGCTCAGCAGTTAAAGATGCTGAGTTTATCAGCTGGAAAGCTGGCAGTCCGGGTTTGAAACCCAAGCACCGCGCAATGGGGTGAGCTCCTGTTCCTGCAAAATCCCCATTTCCTCCCAATCAGCTGAGACTCGGGAGGCAGAGAATAGATGGGGGCGGGGCCAGTCAGAGGTGGCATTTACTGGTTCTCCGAACTACTCAAAATTTCCACTACCGGTTCTCCAGAACTGGTCAGAACCTGCTGAAACCCACCTCTGGGTTACATGACCACGGAAAATGACTTTGGACAATGCTGGCTTCCTCAGTCAAGAAATGAGATAAGCACCACATCCTAGAGTCAGACACAACTGGACAGGGAAACTTTACCTTTAAAATATCAACTGGTTTCATTTGTAAATCCTGTAAAGCATCTTTGTCAATATCATTGTATCCTGTCCATTTTAAATCCATATCCAAAATAACCTGATTCTCTATTAAACCCACTTTTATAGTAAATGAAAACTTGATATTACATTACATTATACATTATAGCCAAATATTCCTGAATTCTTCCACCATTAAAATACTTTTCTCCATTTTGTATTGGTACAGGGAGTCCTCAATTTACAACACTTTGTTTAACAACTGTTTAAAGTTACAAAAAATAAATAATAAAAAAAAAAGTTACAATCATACTGAAAAAGTGACTTATGACCAGTCCTCACATATGTGACTATTGCAACATCCCTGTGGTCACCTGATCACGATTCACGTGCTTGGCAGTCAGCAGGCATTTATGATGGTTGCAGTGTGCCAGGTCATGTGATCTCCATTTGATCTCCTTCCCAGCTGGCTTTCAAAACAAGCAAAGTCAACAGAGAAGGCAGATTCACTTAAAGACCGCATGAGTCACTTAACAACTGCAGTGATTTGCTTAATAACCATTGTAAAATTGTGCATGACTCACTTAACAACTGCCTTGCTGAGCAACATAAATTCTAGTACAGTTTTGGTTATAAGTCGAAGACTATCTATAGGCCATTTCCTTTAGTTATAACCTTTAGTTCTTTCTGGTTGTCTCTCGTAAACAGTTTTTAAGGTCTCCTCTTAAATTTTTCTCTAATCCATAACCTACATTAAGGAAAGTTTTCTTACACTTAAATTCAAAATCTTTGCATACTTTAAATAAGATTTTAAACAAACTGCAGGAAACCGTCTTATAATTAATTCATAATTTTATTTGCAATCAATCTGGATTCAGTCTGCTTAAAAATTTCCCCAGATCAATAGTCTAATCATTCTTTTGCTACTTATTTCCAAATAACAACTTTTTTAAAGCTTACATGAAATGTCTTTCACTGGAGATTGAAGGAAGAACACCACTTCACTTTCTGAAGACAATTGGCAAGGCAATTGCAGTGAAAATGATTTTTAAAAGGAAGTGGGCAAACCCAGTGTTTCTTTGAAGGCTTGGGCAAAACTTGACTCTCCCATTTCCCACAACTGTAAACCTTCTGGAGGCCACTGCTGTATGGCATGAGGCGCTATGGGCAATCACAGATCTTCTCCTTAATCCAGAGATGAGTTTGGTGAACCAGTTCTTTCACCAGTCCCCCTTTTTACTGGCTTTGCTCGTGTGAATTTGACTTCAGGTTGCTATGCTTCCTTGGAAGCCTGTAATCCAGCATATCTAGCTGGCACCAGTGTTGAGTAAAAATGAACTAAGAGCAAATGCTGTTCTGAGTGCATTAACAGGAGCAGAGGGAAGTAATTGTTTTTCCTGAGTCTGCTTAAGTGAGGCTGCACTGGGCGTACTGTATCACATTCTGAGCACCACAGTCCAAAAAGGACAACAACAAAATTGAAGTTCAGAAGAGGGCTATCAGCAAAGTGAAAGGACTGGAAGCCAAATCATATGAGGAACAGATAATTTACATACATTTAGGAGAGAGAAACAGTAACAGAGTTGGAAGGGACCTTGGAGGTCATCTAGTCCAACCCCCTGCTCACGCAGGAGACCTGTACTAGGGATTCGAACTGCCAAACTGCCAACCTTTCTGATTGACAAGCTCAGTGTCTTAGCCACTGAGCTACCTAGTCAGGCTAAGAACTAGAGAGAACTGCAAGAAGATGTAACAGCAATCTTCAAATGACTGGAGACGTTTTATGTCAAAGAAGAAGTGTACTTATTCTCTATAGCTCCAGAAGGTACAATATGCAAGAACCAGTTATTTAAAATTGCTTGGAAGAAGTTTCAGGATACATGTTAGGAGAAATTTCCTGATTATGACTAAGTAAATCCCACTGCAGATTCTCAAAGGACTTGGATAATATCTTCCTTCATTTAAATTTAAATTAACACTTTTTTAGTATCCAACAACTCCAGAATCCTACAGTTCCTCTTGGAAATGCTTGGGTGATCCAGATGCAGAAGAACAGGTATCTTAAAACAGATTCATTTTTACCCTTGTACCTCAGTCTTTGACTTTACAAGTGGCTCTTAACTATATGGAATTAATTGGTTTGTTAGGATTAATTTTATATCTTATAAAGATATGCCAAGAAAAAAAAAAGGCGAAGTCCACAAACAAAAATGGAGTAGCCAAATGGAAAATAGCTTCATTTCATTTTAAGTAGTAGCTAATATGTAATAAACCTTAAGGATAGACTGTAAGAAAAACTCACGGATGCAAAGATGAGAAAATTCAAACTATCCATTAAAAAATTGTTTGTGTTCAGTGCACAAACTGTGATTAATATTGTAAGTATTCAAGTAAAAATTCAAGTTTTGTTCCAGGTTCCTCCATATTTCAGTAGATGTTGAATTGTGGGGTCTGCAAAGAATAAAATGCATAACAAAACTGAAAAAGGCCTTTAAAAAAGTTGGCTGCAGAACGGAACTTGCAAACTAAGTAAGTTCATTGAAATTTTATTATATGATTCAGGGCTGCTACATGTTAGCATAATATATTAAAAAATCTATTAGATAACTCCCAAGATGTCCAGATAAGGCTTAGTCCCAGAACAGAAGTGCTGATTGTGAATATTCTCTGAGAGAACTTGTTCTCTTGATATTTATTGGTGCTGTTTCAATTCTACCTCTCTTTGTACATGGAGATACCAGTGCTTGGAATTGCAGTGTCATTACGGAAGTTAAATAAACAAGTTATAAAACATTCTCATCATATGAAGGGGAAAAGATATAATACAATTAGAAGCTCCAATATTTTCCAGCAGAGATCCATGACTAATGGGTGTTATTTATCCAGCAATTTTGCCTTGTCCAAGACATGCAAAGCTGAACTGAATCTCTCTCTCTCTCTCTCTCTCTTTTTTTTTTCTCTCTCTCTATTTATATTCTCAGCCTGACAATTTGAACCTAGCTCAAATTCTTAAATATTGGGACATGGAATATTCTTACTGCATAACATTGTACTGTTTGATACAGAAAATATTTTAAAACAATGCAAAATTGAAACATGTTTTCTCTTAGGTATCATAGATAAGCAGACATAGAGAAAATGTGGGTTTTTGTTTCTATATATGATAATGGCAGCAAGGCTTTTCTATGCGTAGAGGGGGGGAAATACACAAAAGTCCACAACTGAAGAGTGGATTTTGAAATTAATGGAATTGATAGAGATCAGGGGTGGGTTCTACCTACCTTTACTACCGGTTCGCAGTGGGGCCACGTGCACATGCGCAGAAGTGTTTTGATGATGTCGAGGTTGGTGGGCGGAGCCTCCCACCGGTTTTACTACTGGTTCTATAGAACCGGTGCGAACCGGGGGCAACCCACCACTGGTAGAGATGGTAAAACTGATTTGATGAAAGACAAAAGCCTGTCTAGTTTCCATTTCTGTTGGACACTGGTTTTGGACTTCTTGCTTGAGAAAAATAAAAATAAAGTTTTGATTTTAGGGGCACCTACAATCTGGAACGAGCTCCCCCCGGAGATCTTCGCACCTTCCGTCGCACGCTTAAAATGTTTTTATTTCATCAAGCTGGCCTGGCCTAAATCATCTCTGTTGCAATATTTTCAGGATCAGACTCAATAATAATAATAAGAGTTAGAGGTTTAAATATATTTCTCTTTAATTATAATAGGCATTCTATATTCACTGAATATTCACAGATAGAAGCAAAGCAAATGGTGAAGGTGGCTCCTTATATATACAAAGGGTGGAGCCAAGAGTGGGAGTGGTGAATTATGAATACATTAAGAGTCAAAGAATAAGTTAACCCCTGATATCCCATATATACATTATTTACACATTAGGGAATAAGGCATTTACATCTGACAATCTCCTCTTTTAAATTTAAATTTTAAACATAAATTTTAATCTGTTTAATTATGGGGTATTTTAAAATTCAGCCTAAATTATTTAATTCGTTTTAATTTATTTTAAATTTTGTATTTCTGTGTTTTATCTTCTGGCTGTTCACGCCCTGAGTCCTTCGGGAGAAGGGCGGTTTAGAAATTTAATAAATAATAATAAAATAATCATAATAATAATTTGAGAATTAGATTTGTTATGATTATAGAAATATTATGTATCCTTATTCTTATTATTAGACATGTATACTATATTTGTTATACTTATATGTAAGCTTAAATATAAAGTAAGAGATTTTTGATTACAGTGGTATCTTGGTACTCAACTGCTTTAAAACTCATCAAATTTGATACTCAATGCATTTTAATGTGAACATTTTGTCCCAGTACTCATTATTTGTTTGGTACTCAACTCACAAGCTAGGTGTTGGCTGCCTTGTGACTCACTACATTTTTCCTTATGGAAAAATGTGGTTGGTACTCATTTATTTATTTATTTATTTATTGGTTCAATTTATATGACGCCCTTCTCTGGAGAATCAGGGCGGCTTACAATGCGTTAAGCAATAGCCTTCATACTTTTGTATATACCTGCTTAGTAGGGCTTTCGGCCCCCCCAAGCGGTGTTCTTTTTTATACAAAGTCAGCTTATTGCCCCCACAATCAGGGTCCTCATTTTACCTACCTCGGAAGAATGGAAGGCTGAGTCAACCTTGAGCCTGGTGAGATTTGAACGTGCAGTAATTGCAGGCAGCTGGTGCTACTTAACAGCACTTTAGTCCACTGCGCCACCAAGG